GAGCACGGGCTCTGGAGCCAGACTGGTCTGGCTTTAACCTCAGCTCTAGCACTTAACATTGTGTGTCCCGGGGCAATTTAGCTAACTTTCCATACCTGTTTCCTCATCTGTAAAATGGGAATAATATTATAATGGCACTTGTGTCCTAGAGTTGTTGTTAGGACTAAATAAGATGAAATACATGGAGACTATTTTGAACAGTCTGGCACATGGTGAGTGCAGTTTGCTATTAGAATCACAATGTAACCAAATCATAAAAAGATTTCCCCACTGGTATGCTAAACTAAGGAATATTTTAATTCCAGTGGGGGATTCCAGCCTGACCGTTAGGAGCCAGAACTTCTGAGTTGGCATTTTCTTTTTACATATTTATTTATTTTTGAGAGAAAGTCTCCCTCTGTTGCCCAGGCTGCAGTGCCAAGGCACTATCATAGCTCACCATAACCTTGACTTCTTGGGCTCAAGTGATCCTCCTGCCTCTAAAGTAGCTGGGACTATAGGTGTGCACCACCACACCTGGCTAAATTAAAAAAAAGTTTTTTTTTGTAAAGACAGGGTCTTGCTATGTTGCTCAGGCTTATATTGGATTCTTGGCCTCAAGCAATCCTCCCTCCTCGGCCTCCCAAAGTGCTGGGATCACAGGAATGAGCCACATCGCCCGGCCATTTATTTTTTATTTGTACATATTCATGGGGTACAAGTCCAACTTTGCTACATTGATATATTGCATTGTGGCGAAGTCAAGGCCTTCGGTTGCATCCACCTGCAAATTTCATTTTCCAGGAACGAGTTTGAAAAAATCTGCAGACAGGAGGTGAAACCAGTAGGAGTAAATATAATGAGAGATGTGACCATTTCGAAATCAGAATACGATTCAAAAAATGAAAAAATGGTTTACAAGATGCAGGATTTCCAAGAAGATAAGGAGCTCTTCAGATACTGCACTCTCCCCGAGGTTAGAGACCATCCTGCACTTTGTTTGTGTCGTAGCCCGGGTGCACGCCTGCCTCTAAAATCTGCTCTTTTGATTTGGTGTAACCCTGTTCCACAGAAGGCTCTAATAGCTGTGGTTCTCAACTGGAGGGGATTTTGCTTCCCAGGGGACATTCGACAATGTCTGGGGACATTTTTCTGGTTGTCACAGCAGGGGGCAGAGTGTGCTACTGGCTCCTAACGGGTAGAGGCCAGGGGATGATTGCTGCCAGGCGGCCCAGAGATCCTGTAATGCACAGAACAGCCCCCTCCCTGAAACAAAAAATTTTCCCACCACAAACGTCAATAGTGCCAAGATTGAGCAACCCCGTTGTAGAGTTTGCCGATTCTCTTCTGTTGAGAGAGTTGAGAATTCTGTGTTAAAGAGAAAGATCTCTTCTAACACTCAATAGTGGCGGATGCACAGACATGAAATTGCTGAGGCTGTTATCTGTAAATCCATTTATTTTTGTTTGTTTGTTTTATGAATGTGGTCAGTAGAGGTGTGAGTTTGTTTTTAGATTTAAATTAGTTTTTTAAAAAATTAGTATGCTTTGAGTAATTCATGTTTATGAGAAAAACCCAAGCAGTAGCCCATGAAGTGAAAAGTGAAGTCTTCCTCTGCCCCCCAGCCTCAATTTTTGGAGTCAGACAGAATCAGGGTTTGAATGTCATCTTTTTCATTTAAGTGACTTTGCCAACTTGTTAGTCTCAGGTTTGTTTGCGTGGGACATTAATGTGACGCGTTTATTAATCGGTGGGGGCATGAATTTAAGGCATCGTTGTGCGGCTGACGTGGGCCGATGTGCAGAGCCCGTCTGAGCCACAGCAGGAGGCGCACAGTAAGTCCTCAGCGTGGAATCCTTTCTGCCTTCCCCTGCGCAAGGCAGGAGCCTGGGTCCCTGGCCCGGTGACTAGTTAGCACTCCCTGTCACATTCTTCGTAATGCTACGTCTCTCGGCCACTGTGACCCATGTCACGAGTGGTTTAACATCTTTCTTCCCACAAGACAAAACTCCAGGGAGACAGGGACAGGGACCTGCTTTTCTTGTTCGCTCTGTGCCCCGTTTCCCATCCCTCTGCCTGGGTCGTGGATCTCAGGAACGAGTCGTTGCATGAGTGGCTGCACCGATGGTCAGGTGTCCTCTGAGACACTGTTCTACTTTCATCTGGCAGCTGCCAATCGTGTTGGGCGCTTCCATGGAGTCTCCAAAAAGGAAGAGGAAACTGCCTTCTCCCTGGGCAACCTCTGTGACTTTGGTTGGCAGAAGAGCTGTTCCTGTCCTTACTAGTTGATATCTCGTGGAATCTCCTATCTTTTTTCTTCTTTTCTTTTTTTTCTTTTGTAGAGACAGAGTCTCACTCTGTCATCCTGGCTAGACTGCAGTGGTGTTGTCATAGCTCACGGCAACCTCCAAATCCTGGGCTTAAGGGATCCTCCTGCCTCAGCCTCCTGAGTAGCTGGGACTATAGGTGTGCACCACCACACCTGGCTAATTTTCTTTTTCTATTTTTAGTAGAGATGGGGTCTTGTTCTTGCTCAGGCTGGTCTTGAACTCCTGACCTCAAGCAATCCTCTCACCTCGGCCTTCCAGAGTGCTAGGATTACAGGAATGAGCCACCATGCCTGGCCAAAACTCCTATCTTTCTTGCAGAAAAAAAAATGTTTCATTCCCAGCTGGCAAAAAAAAAAAACAAACAAAAAACAATTCAGAGGGTGGTAGATTTAGAATGATTTCCAAATGCTTTGTTTGCAGTGTTGTGAAATACTAACTTGTTTTTTAAACTATTGCCATCTTGGTTCTTCTACGGGAAGTTGAACTTTGTGCCACTTGCTTGATATTTCTGCTTTCCCTTGAAATTTGTTTTGCTTTTACTTTTTTTTTTTTTATTTCAGCATATTACAGGGGTACAGATGTTTAGGTTACGTATGTTGCCCTTACCTCCCCCTCCCCCCCAAGTGCGAGTTTCAAACATGTCCATCCTTCGGGTGGTGCGCATTGCACTCTTTGTGTATGCATATACCCGTCCCCTCCTCCCTCCTCCCCCCCTGCCCAACATCCAATAGATGTTATTCTTATATGTGCACTTATGTGTTGATCAGTTAATACCAATTTGATGGTGAGTACATGTGGTGCTTGTCTTTCCATTCTTGGGATACCTCACTTAGTAGAATGCGTTCCAGCTCTATCCAGGAGTATACAAGAGGTGCTATATCACCATTGTTTCTTAAAGCTGAATAGTACTCCATGGTATACATATACCACATTTTATTAATCCACTCATGTATTGATGGACACTTGGGTTGTTTCCACATCTTTGCAATTGTGAATTGTACTGCTATAAACATTTGGGTGCAAGTGTCTTTCTTATACAGTATCATTTGCTCTTTTGGGTAGATGCCCAGTAATGGGATTGCTGGATCGAATGGTACTTCTACTTGTGTCTCTTTAAGATATCTCCATATTGCTTTCCACAGAGGTTGCACTAGTTTGCAATCCCACCAACAGTGCATGAGTATTCCTATCTCTCCGCATCCACACCAACATTTATGGTTTTGGGACTTTTTGATAAAGGCCAGTCTCACTGGTGATAAGTGATATCTCATTGTGGTTTTAATTTGCATTTCCCTGATGATTAGAGATGTTGAGCATTTTTTCATATGTTTTTTGACCATTATTCTGTCTTCTTTTGAAAAGTTTCTGTTCATGTCCTTTGCCCACTTTTTGATAGGGTCGTTTGATTTTTTCTTGTTGATTTTCCCGAGTTCTAAGTAGATTCTGGTTATCAGCTGCTTTTACTTTTCTTTTTCTTAGATTCTGAAATATGTGGAGTGCTTCACTGGACCCAATATTCTGGCCATGCATACAATGATGATAAACAAACCTCCCGATTTTGGTAAAGGAAAAAATTGTTTCATTAAAATACGTAAGGTCGATGTTCTAATGATAGTTGTGTGTATAACTGCCAAACTTTGGATGAGTGAGTCTATCTGCTTTTATTTAAGTCTTAAAATAGCTTACATTACAACAACATAGAAGTGCAATAGTGATTTCAGATGTTGTTCCTGAATTTTCAGATGACTATTCCTGTATCATAGGCTTCTGCTATTCACTATGTCTAAACTTGATTGACAATTCTTAGCTGTGATAGTGTGGATTTTGCATTCTGGTCGGAAGGCATTATTATTACTATGAATACTAACAAAATTAGAATTATTATTGTGAATCACACACTATGGTTGTTCTTAAAATGTCTCGTGCTGGCTAAAATGTAGATTGTAAGACCTCACTCTCAGAGAAACTGTCAGAAACAGAACCCAGGTCTTCACATTTTAAAAACACCCTGAAAGAGTCTAGTGCAGGTGGCTTGGACTACACTGAGAAATCCTTGTACACCTGCGGTAGACACCAGCCATGACAGAGTCCTTTATCCTTTTTCCCTTTTTCTTCCTGTTGATGGTGGGAGGAGTTTATGTGACAGGACTGAGCTTAGCACCACGTCTCTTCCTCCCTGGATGTCTTGCCTGGACAGATCAGGTCGTGGGGACCAAGTTCAGAGAGCTCACCCAGGGGCAGATGTCAATGTGGTCGTGTGACTTTGACCAGACACGGTGCCCAGAATGCCTACAGTTGTGTGGGGGAAAAGCTCTTAGAGCACTTTTTTTTGACATCAACCACTTGGAAGGGGAGCTCAAACTTGACTCTATACCTCTCTGTTCAATTTAATTAATCCAGCTGTTTTTAGAATGCTTATTGCATGCTAGGCTCTGGGCCAAATCCAGAGCTACAAAGGAATAAAGCATAATAGAGATGACTGGCATATGTGCGAACATGGTGTGAGTGCTCAGCTACCAGCAACCCAGCAGGATAGGACTTGGAGCCACCGTGTTGATTTGATGTTGCAATTTGATGCTTATCTCTTCAGGCTGTGGCTTCATTGGTTGGGTTTCTGCAGGGCTAGCCGTTGTTCTGGTTTTTCAGGCAAAGGGTAAGAATTCTGAGGCCCGAGCATCTTCTAACAGCAGGTTCCGTTTCAGGCAAGAAGACAACCCGTCATCCCTTCCACCAGGACCTGCACTATTTCCCCTTCAGGCCCAGCGATCGCATCGTTTGCGCCTGGACGGCGATGGAGCACATTGACCGCAACAACGGTTGTCTGTCCGTGCTCCCGGGCACCCACAAAGGGCCCCTGCAGCCCCACGATTACCCGCAGTGGGAGGTAGGTGTGCGTGGCAGCTGCGTGTTGGGCAGAATCTCTTTCTCTGTTGTTATTTCACATCAGTATACAGCAAGAGCTTACAAAGCAGGTGGCATTTCCTTTCTTAGCAAAACATTGTCCCAAGATTTGCAGTTAAGATCAGGGAAAGTTCAGGGATGACAGATAAAACATTCATCACTGCTGTTCTTTCAACATGCGTTTTCAGATGTTATTGCTGAATTTTCAGATCACTGACTCCCCGCAAAATGCAGTTTAACAAACATAACTGTTCCTGTGTCACAGGCTTCTGCCATTCACTGTCTCTAAACTTGATCAACAATTCTTAGCCGTGATAGTGTGGATTTTGTATTCCTGGTCTGAAGGCATTATTATTACTAACAAAATTGAAATTATTTTTGTGAATCACACGCTGTAGTTGTTCTTAAAATGTCTCGTGTTGGCTAAAATGTAGAATGTAAGACCTCACTCTTAGAGAAACTGATTCAGAAATAGAACCCAGTTGTCTGCATTTTAAAAACCTGCCCGAAGAGTCTAGAGCAGGCGGCTCGTACTACGCTGAGAAATCCTTCCGCACCTGCCGTAGTATAGAAGCGCCACCAAGGTGGGGAACCTGGGCAGGTGCCGCGTATGGGATCCGAGATTGCGAAGCCTAATTGCGGAGGTGAGTCGTAGACACTTCAACCTGCACGTGTGTGCTCGGTGCTAAGTAAGCCTGGCTCACGGATGGGGCTCTGAGAGTGGGGGTGGGGGGACGGGAAGGACCCAGGGGGCTCACAGGCTAGCTGGGGGCACATTTTGGGGAGTAGCAAAGGAGGTGAGCCGGGAAAGGTACATTAGGACCAGATTAGGAAGGATGTTGTTTGTTATACTAACGAGTCTACAGTTTATTTGGGGAGGAGAACGGGATGCTAGAAGAGCTTTCAATTTTTTAAAAAAACTGTTTTATGGAGGTGTAATTGTCATGTAATAAACTGTACATATTTTGTGTGTATACTTTGATCATTTTTGACACCCCTCCCCCACCCCCTGCGAAATCATCACCACAATCAAGATAATCACTCCGTCCCCCCCCAGCCCCAGGCAACCTGTGTGTTGCTTTCTGTTCCTGTAGATGAGTTTGCATTTTCTAAAATGTTATATACATGTCATCCCATAGCATATAGTTTGTTCTTTTTCGTGGCTTCACTCACAGTTATTTTGAGATTCGTCGATGCTGTTGCGTGGACCGACTGTTCTTTCCCTTCCGTTGCTGAGTAGTGTCCTGTTGCGTAGCTGTACCGTGGTTTGTTTATCCATTCAGCTGTTGATGCTGGAACTATTCTATGCATTTGAGCGCAAGAGTGATGAGATCCTAGCACTTTGGGAGGCTGAGGCAAGAGAATCACTTGAGGCCAGGAGTTTGAGACCAGCTTGGGCAATATAGTAAGACCCTGTCTATACAAAAAAATGAGAAAAATTAGCCAGACGTGGTGGCACGTGCCTGTAGTCCCAGCTACTGGGGAGGCTGAGGGAAGAGGATGACTCGAGCCCAGGAGTTTGAGGTTGCAGTGAGCTATGATGATACCCCTGTACTCTGGCCCAAGCAAGAGACCCAGACCCTGTCTCAAAATAAACAAAAACCTGAAATTGTGAAATTCATCAATTAAGGTTTAGTGCAAGGGGCAGCACTGGGCTCTGGCTGACTGGGGGCAAAAGGAAAAGTTGGGGGCTTCGGGAGCATTTGGAGTCTCTGAATCTCTGCTCAAAGTAGGGGCAGTGGGCGGTCTGATTAGCTTAGCTTAGCTCACACATCCACCTTGGCCAGGCAGAAGGGCCCCAGGTCAGAGTGTCACCACTCCCCAGGAGGGAAGTGGTCGTCCCCCAAAAGCAATCTGGGACACTCAGGTGGAAGAATGCGAGGATCCCCCAACCCTGACCCATGAAAGCTTAAAAACTTCAATCGCTTCTCACTTCCGTTTCCTTAATGAAGATATAACCCATTACCTAAAGCAGTAACTGGCTTGGGAAATAGTTATAAGCAAACACAATGTTTTAATTTATTATTCTGGATGTAACATCCGTGCTTTTGAACTCAGAAAAATTGAGCTTTTTCTCTTCCCCAGTTTTGGGAGAATAGTTAGCTTCTCAGAGACACTCCGGGTAATAGAAGAAGAATTTGTACAGAGTTCTGGGTGAGGAGAACATCATGCCAGGGAGGAATGTTTACAGATTCAGGCTGGAAGCACCTAGGAGAAAGGTGGTTGCCCGCATGAACCACAAAAGGCGAAGCTGAGCTAGATCTTCATGTATAATTCAGTCATGAAGGGTAGGTGGAAAGTCCACATTTTTCATTTGGTCCAAAAAAATATATATATCAGCGATTTTAATATCCACATGTGACTTTTTAAAACCAGACATCTGAGAGGCATCTGGAGAGGCTTTTGATTTATGTAATGAAGACACTTTTAAGAATCTAATTTAGGTATGTCTTTCTCTTGGGCGAATTTAGCGAGTTCCTACTTTCCCCAGTGAGTCCTTGCTGACGTTTTTAACTGTGGAATTTCCTCAAATATAGACTCGGTTTTGCTTCTTCTTCTAGGGGGGAGTTAACATAATGTTCCACGGGATCCAGAACTTCAAGGACTACGATGCCCGCGTGCACGTCGAGATGGAGAAGGGGGACACCATTTTCTTTCATCCTTTGCTGATCCATGGGTCTGGTCAGAACAAAACTCAAGGATTCCGGAAGGTACGTATTCCCCTCGCTGTGCTCTCTGGGTGAGAAACAAAGATTGCAAGATACATTAAAATTTAAAAGACTTGTTATTTTTAACTAAACTGAAGTTCAGTTTATCCACCAGGAAATATTAGTATATTTGCCTACCTTCTGCTTGTTTTGCTCTTACGGTAAGAAGCCAGCTGACCCCAGAATCTTGACCTTGTCAACAGTGAATCATGAATATTCATGAACTTGCTTCCAAACAACAGCTCACTTGCTAGCACACTGCCCGAGCTTTCTGAGGCAAAAACAATGGCTGTGATACTAAAATACGAAAATGTGGAATTTATATTGCTCATAGTAACCATCACGAGAGGAGAGTTTGTGATCATCTTTGCTATTGGGAAAAATAGTAATTGATCCAAAACAAACATTCTGAATTGGGTGCCCGAAATCCGATTTAGCAGACAGCCATGGTTTGTTCCCACCACTCAGCCTCAGTGTGTTTGAAACTTAATAGTGTCATTGCTTATGTTTAAAAATTGACAAAATTCCTTGTAAGTTCCCCCATCCCCATTGCTCACTTCTCTTCAATGCAGCAGATCTCACAGAATGTGGGCTTGCACTCCCTGACGGTAATGTGGTTGTCCATAAAAATATTGGGGCTCTTCGGGGGGCTTCGTGGGTCTTTCCAGTTCATTGCACAGTTCCTACCAATGGCTCAAGGCTTAGGTGCCAAACTTCATCTTCCATTCATTCATTTAGGCGCTCTCCTCTGGAGGCAAAATTTCAGGGGATATCAAACCAAGCAAAACAAAACCTTTGGCAATCAAGTTACATAGTATTTTAATGCAATATTTTAAAAAATCAAAAATAATGCAGAAAAAATGCACACTGCACAGAATACTGAAATTTTCAATAAAAGACAGAATCAGATCCTGCACTGGCAGAGAACCCTCAACGCCGTGCAAGTAGGGAAGTGCAGGCACAATGATGCTAACAATGCTGTGAGTTTTAATATACTGGCTTTGTAGTGTTTCAGTATTTTTTTCCATAACTGTAATGGTCTGGAAAAATATTAAGTGTTATTGCATAAAGATATGGATATCGAAGGGCACATTTTTCCTTTTGCCGCGGGCTCTGCCATGGCTCTGCATGGCTGCTGGAGCTCCCATAGGCCAGGGAACTCGTGACTCCACTCCCCAGAAATCTGATGTTTGGGGCAGAGTGGGAAACCCTTCTGATGGGTGTAATCACCTCAAGATAATTAACTTGTGACGAGGAAGGTGTGTTTTAACTGCTGCCTTGCAGCTTAGATCTGTTTATAACATTTTCTAGATTGGGAAGAACCAAGTAGCTTCATCTTTACCTTCCAAGCAGGAAACAAGATGGGTAATACATGTCTGTAGTATTGGCCTTGAACTGTCCTTTTGATTTGAGAGGAGGTGTGTGTATTATTTTCCTTCTCAAGGGATTTTCAATTCTTTTCTCAATCTATTCCCATAAAAATAACAACCCATCTCAAGGTCACCTGGGTAACTAAGTTTTGTGACTAGGAAGAGGATAAACTACAGTGGAATACATTCCCTTTTAAGACTTCGGATGTCCATTCATTAGGAAAATCAAATGCTCACAATATTAAAGACCTTTACTTAACGTGATTACGCTCCCTGTTCCATCCATACCTTTGGAAATAAATATCACAGATGGTTAAAGATGTTTTGTAACTTCTCAATTAGCCTTTAGCTGGGAACAAAAAAAACAAAAAACAAAAAAGAGGCTGAACTACAAAGAGACTGATATGGGACTTTGAATTTAGAAATCAAACAGCAAAGGACCCCTTCCTTGGTTGCTGGTATTAATGGGATGTTTTTCTCCCATATCAATTTGTTCCCTTCCACAGGCAATTTCCTGCCATTTTTCCAGTGCGGATGGCTACTACATCGATGTGAAGGGCACCACGCAAGAAAATATTGAGAAGGAACTTCAGGGGATAGCAAGTCGAGCCTATGGGCTCGATGACAGCGTCACCATGAAGGTATGTTTGCATAAAACAACATGGTAAAAATCGGCATTTTTTTCTGCAGATGCTTCATAATTCCTATATCTAATTTCATTTGAAAGTATATAGTGCTTGGCTTTAGAGTTTATTCTAGAAACACTGCTGAGCCCTCAGCAAGAATGATGACGGGTTTTCCATTTGCACTCCCTCATGGGGACTTTAGAACTTCATGCTGCTTCTTTATGGCTTTGGGATAGCCTATACAGTCAGTCCCAGCCCGCACAGGACAGTCAAGGAAAAAAAAATGCAGATTTAGACAAGAGAAAATGAAGGAGAAAATACTGCCTTCTGAAGGCATAGAAGGAAAGTTAAAGGTTTAGGATCTCAGCTGTAGACTGCCTTTATTAGCATAGCATAGAGTAATTTATGCATTAGGAAGTCCAACAAGATACTCAGAGAGCAATTCTTGAACGAGCTTTTGTTTTAGTAAATTTGTAGTTGGAGTTTTATAAGAGGCCTCCTTTGCATGTAGCAGAGATAAAGATCACAAATACAAACTGATAAGGGGTACAAGACAATATGTCATATGCTTTCCTGGTTAATGCACAGTGGTTGTAAATTATTTGTTTTTAACCAGTGGATATTCAATGCTCTTAATCACCCATTGACAAATTATCAATCAAGGCAAATAAATTAGCATATTTACTTCATAGAATATGCACACGTTAGCCTCTCAACCAAGAAGCTGATCCCATTTTTAATATTTGTATTAGATAATCATAAATGCATGCGTGTGCCCCAAATTGAGTACAATGATTACGATGGGCCGTTCACTATATTGCAGGTCATTGCGCTGCCAGGGGCCTGCTGCCCTGCCACTGAGAACCGCCTTCCCAAATACCTTCCCAGCTCAAGAACCTTGTTTCTCCCTGTAGAACCTACAAGTGTGTCCCATATCTGAAAATGCCCTGATTTCGCCTTTGCAGAGCCTAGAAATTCTTGTCCTTCTTCTCCCTTTGTCTAGTACTTACAATGCCTTACAGAGGCAACATATTTTGTCATTTGGGACTTCGGTCTAACACCCTTAATCTTTGTTTATTTGTTTTGTTTTCGTTTTTGACACAGGGTGTTGCTCTGTCTCCTGAGGTAGAGTACAGTGGCATCATCATAGCTCACTGCAACTTCAAATTCCTGGGCTCCAGGGATCCTCCTGTCTCAGGCTCCTGAGTAGCTGGGACTACAGTTGGGTGCCACTAAGCCCGACTAATTATTCTATTGTGTTTTTTTTAGAGACAGGGGTTTCGCTCTTGCTCAGGCTGGTCTCAAACTCCAGGCCTCAAGCGATCCTCCTGCCTCAGCCTCCCAAAGTGCTGGGATTACAGGCATGGGCTACAGCACCCGGCCTAACATCCTGAATTTTAAGGCAGAAAAATAAAATGTGTACACTGTGCTGGAGGTTTGTCAAGGTTGTGCTAAATGAATACCTCCCATATTTATTTTAGGTACTGTGTAAGTTACGGTTTATCTGGTTTATTTAGAATAACAGTGTTAACTTCTGCTATGTAATTCTTTGTAAGATACAAAAGCACTTTCATCTCCCTTTTCTTATTTTCTTCACCAAAACCCGGTAGAGTAGTCAGTAGAGCTCTGTGCTGTTAAGGAGAGGGTAATGAATCCCAGAAGTTGGCCTAAGTTATGTAAGAGACAGAGCTATAGATTTCAGAGTCATGTTTAGTTCAAAAATCATTCTTTCCACCATACCATGATGTTTGCTCAAAAATAAACAAGAATTAGGAAATAAGAACATTTAAATTGTTTTATTAAGACCAAAGGGGGAAAAAAAACAAATAAACCAGTAACCCAAGACACCATTTTCACAATTACGCTCTAATCAGAGGTAGACCATTCAAAATGGTTCAGTCAAGTATCATAAAGGCCAGCAGGAAAATGGTAATGAGCTGTGCGTACGTGACCAGACGTCACACCCACCCAGTTACACCATCTGTCATCGGCAAGTGTACGCAATGAATCAGGGCTGACAGCCTGGGGACCCACGGATTTAGTTTAGTCACCACCATATTACATGTCGGTAAGTAGATTAATTGGAGTCTCAGGATATCTTTTATTTACTAATCAATATATAACTGTTACGGGCATTTTTTTTCCCTATATAACCTTTTGTAGAGTCTAGAAATCTACTTTGTCTCCTGGTGAAATTGAAGGTGAATTGAAGTGTTCCATAAACTCATTCTGTTTGGCTTTATTTCCAGGACCTTTGGAAGTTTCGGGCTCGACTGGTGAAAGGAGAAAGAACCAACCTTTGAAATAGCCCTTTGCTACAACTCTTTTAAAAGAAACTAAAATGAAACAGGGTCTTCAAAATTTTCTACAATTGTACTAATTAGAATAAATCCTGGAAACACAGGATTTGTATAATAAATTCTAATCAGGCAACATATTGTATTGTATATTCTATTGTAGTTACCACTCATTGGCTGAGTATCCTACAGCCACACACTGGAATAAAATACCATGTTAGAGTTCAAACGAATGAGAACCTTTCCATCCTTAAATATGATAGGGAAATCCGTCTAGAATATATTAAGCGAAAAGCAGCAAGTTGCACAACGGTACAGATGCCCATTTTTACAAAGCCCCAGCCTTCACTGGGTACTTCTCTTAGTTTTGCTCACCCCAATTATTTTATACTCTGAATATTCTCTTTTATTCTTCCCTTATAACTATAAAAACTGCCATGAGAACAGTATGGCCAGGAGCGAGGCAGTCATTACCCAAGGAGAGTACATGTGAGTACAGGGTGGATGTTTCCCCTGACTTGACAGTGTGTACTTACACGCAGTGGCTCCACCCACAGCATGTGTGTGTGCAAGCATGGGTGCATACATGTTACATATGGAAAAAGCACATGTAGTAAAATACCAAGAAATTAACATTCCTAGGAGAATACATTCAACTATTTTTCGGGCTTCTCTGTATATTTAAAATTTTTCAAAATGTTAATAAAAAGATGGGGAATATTATGTCACCTGGACTTTAATCCACTGCAAAACTTAACGCGAGCAGGTTTACTGGACTGATTCGGCTGGCACAAGGTGGGCCATGGCTGCTTAATTTTGTAACTTTGAAAATTGTCCAGGTGAACTGTATTATTCTAATACTTGAGAAATTATTTATAGGTATGTCTTTCGCATTTCTTTTATTAGTTCCTAATGTGCTAGAGATGAAATCTAGCTTTTTATTTAAAAAATAAAAACAGGAGGGTTCAACTACTGTAATTTTCTTAGTTTCTCAAAATGGACCAAAATGGGGCTATGTTCTTTCTACAGAGAAATGTTATACAACTCTGCTTAATAAGAAGGCAAAATATAGGAGTAGATAATGGATAATGATCAACATTTTATAGGTCTCCACACATTTCTATGAGCATATCCTTGTTAGAGAAATATAACAGAAAACACATTGGATTTTCAGCAATCAGATCACTAATATAGTGAATTTTCTATTTCTTCCCATGAAGCTTTGACGAATTTTATTACATGCAGTTCTCCTAAGCCTAAAACTATCTCTAAAGGCAACAAGACCTAGGACAGTTAAAGGACAATTAAAAACCACTGAAAAGCCAGGTGTGGTGGCATGTGCTGTAGTCTCAGCTACTTGGCTGGCTGAGACGGAAGGGTCCCTTGGGCCCAGGAGTTTGAGGTTGCTGTGAGCTACGCTGACGCCATGGCACTCACTCTAGCCCGGGCAACAAACCTAGACTCTGTCTCAAATAAAATAAAATAAAAGTGGTATTGTTCCTATCCCTGGGTCAACATAATAGGCTCAAATAATGGGACTGAGCTCATAAATGGAGCATTAATATTCCATTAGGGCACAGAAAAAATCACTGTAGATGGATGGCATCAGGACTGTATATTTTTCAGTCATCCTAAAGCTGCTTTTACTTGTTTTGAAAATGAAGGTAGACACAGTAGGTAGAGAAACCGTCTTATATGAAATGTCCTATTAGGAGGGGACGGCGGTACCAGAATAGTGTCTGCGAGGGGGGAAAAAAACTTAAAAGGTCCTTTGGCCCCTCGAAAACCCTTCTGCTCTGAATTCTTTGAAATTACGTAGAAGCGAAATATCATTCTGCATTTAAAAAGCGTGTTCTTAGTGTTATACACAAACGCTATTTTTAAAATGTAAGAAGATCAAGAGGTCTGAATTTTACTGACAAAAATATTCTGTGAATGATGTGGTCCCCTGGGAGGTCATTTTCTGCTCTGACACCAGCTACAATTCTCTCATCTACGGACCACCAGTGACTCTGAGAAGGGCGGTTCTGTGTCAAACGCCGTCCAGCGTTTCCCTCATTGCAGATGGTGAAGCGCAAAGCCAGAGAGCCCAGTCACACCCCAGGTCAGACGTAAAAGCGGACCGATCCGTCTGTTTTCGCGTCCACACATCGCAACTGCACACAAGCCTGGCAAAGCCAAGCGGAGTGAATAATCGACCGGCTTGTTCGGACATCATTCGACCACTTCGTGTGGTTCAGTGGGGCCTCTGCTTAGGTATACAACTTGCTGAAGACTCCTTAGTTGAAAAAGAAATGCTCCTTTTCACAAATCTCAAATTTACTTAGGAAACTGATAAGACGCCATCAACGCCGGCATTACAAAGTAGCACAACACTTCCCAACCTACCTTGGTCAACCTTTTGAGACCACGCTGTCCCATATAAGAGCCACGGGAAAGGTGTGAGGGCTGCAGCGGCGTGTGGGATGTGCACGGCGGGTTAGGGTAAATGTCCGGGCTTCTCTGCATTCGTCGTCCCCTTCACCTCACAGAGGCAGAAAATGACGCTCCGACAGCCCCGGAAAGTGTCAGGAATTGAGTTCAGACCTCAGGGGAAAATACTGCAAGGGAAGACTTAAACTTCGCGCGCGCTGGGAGGCGCCAAACACCCTATTTTACCTCAGGGAACCGGAGGAAGCCTAAGGCTTCAGCGACCGGAAGTTCCCTTGCCCCTAATAAAGAGGGCGCCCGATGACGTACAACGGTCAGGTTGCTCTGCGACCGGGCCGTGTTTCGCTCTCTCCCCACACCAGAGTTTTGACGTAGCCAATCAGTGCGGCCTCACAGCCGCGTGCGTCTGACGTCAGGGCCGGGGGCGGAGTCCAGTTGGAATTTTGGCGGGTCTGACTGTAGACCGGGAAGAGGTGCCAGCGCGGGGTGAGAATCGCGGGTTCCGGGCGCGCGGGAGGCCCTCGGGCGGCGGGGCAGGGGACCGCCTCGCGTGTCTGGGGGAGGGTCTGCGAGAGGCGCCGAGCCCCGGGGGCTCGTGGGCGCGGTCTGGACCCGGGCGGCCGCGGGGGCAAGCTCCGGACAGCGAGGGGTTGGCGCGGCCGGGGCGGGGCCAGGGAATTGCCGGGTCATCCCCTTAAGGAATCAGTTTTTTTCTTTTAAAAGTAAACCTTTTAAAATGCTTGCCAAACACATGCCGTAGAAAAGATGAGGAAGTAGAAGCAGAAGAGAGAAAGAGAAAGAGAGAAAAAGAATTCACTGTCTCCCAAGCTTTGTAGATTTCGTTCTAAGGGCCATGGAAAATCATTAAAGAATTTCAGTTAAGGTAAAACCATGATCTGATTTATGCTCCTAAAAGATTACTAAGGAATGGAAAGATTCCTGTGACTGTTGTATGGACAATAGATTGCAGAGGGACAAAGAGACCAACACAGCAAGCAAACACAGTCATGCAGGCCAAAGGTTGATGGTGGCTTGCACCAGGGTTTTGGCAGTGAAGTTGAAGAGAAGTGGGAGATTCAAGCAATGTTTTGGAGATAGAACCCGCAGAATTTGTTGGATAGCCCTGGATTTTTTTTTTTTTTTTTTT